TTTTTTTTTTTTTTTTTTTTTTTTATAAAAATGGAGGATCTGAATTTTTTTTAAAAGGAAAAATCAGCTTAAATTTATTAATTTATGATTTTTAAGAGTTTGGTGGATAAACTTAGAAAATTTTAAAAATAAATTAACCCCTTGAAATGTAAATTTTAATTTTATGTTTAATAAAATTCAATTATGATTTGTATTTTTACAAAAAAAAGAAAAAGAAAAAGAAAAAGAAAGTCATTTATGGTCATCTCAATAAAGATAAATGGATAAAACTTGAATGAGGCTAAATTTGTAATTTCGATGTAAAACTTCCGGAAAAGGAGAGGCGAGGGTTTTTTTTGAAAAAAATGGTTGGCGGACATGAAAAATTAACAAATTCTCAACAAAAATACAAAAAACGGATTTGAGAGAGAGAGAGAGAGTATCTTTCAAACGTTTGAATCTCTATTTGACATTTTCAGATGGATTTTCATTATCATTTATCCATTTTTGGATCGAGTTTGTTTCCTCAAATCTCTCCAATTCTCGCCTCATCTTCATTCTCCATTTTCCCCTTTTGCAGTTTGTGAATAATCCAATCCATTCCGTCTCTGAGTTTTCCATTGACTCCCCTAATACTTCTTAATTTCATTTTCCTTTCTACTCATTACAGATTACATCGACTTCAAGCAATTATCCATTATTTTTTTGGTTGATTTTGTGGCGACTCAATCCAGCGACTTGGTCGAGGCCGATAAGAAAAATGGCGTGCGAAGGCGGTGGCAATGGAGGAGGAGGAGGAGGAGACGAGACTTCCACATTGTCGCCTAAAAGCAAGTTGAAGTTTCTTTGCAGTTATGGCGGCAAGATCCTCCCTAGGCCCACCGATGGCCATCTCAAGTATGTTGGCGGCGAGACGCGCGTCATCGCTATGCAGCGTGATATCAAATTTTCAGGTTTCTGTCGTTCGATTTTTCTGCCTTTGTTTTTGAGATTGCGATTCTTCTTAAGTTTCTTGCCGTGTTTTTAATCTGACAAATTATGATCAGCGGGAAAATCTTGTTGGATTGCTTTTGATCAAGTGAAATTTATACGACTTTGTTTTTTCTGGAGTGATTTGAAGTGCTTTCTGTATAAGGTTCAAATGTATGAGACGACTTAGAAATTGGATTTCGAATATCAAATGTTAAGATTGTTAGGGCTAACCACATCGAATAGTTTTATTTTTTTTCTTGTTTTCTCGGATAGGATCTTTGACAAGTTTGTGAAACACATTGTACAGATTTAGGTTCAGTGATCTCTCTTGAAAGTTCAATGAATTATTCTTTAATGGTAATGAAAATCAGCGAACATTTCAAGATATTTATTTTCGGATTTCCTCTTATTCTACTCTGTCTTGCTTAGATCTAATGAAGAAAGTGACGGCTCTATTTGATGGAGATATGGTGCTGAAGTATCAGTTGGTTCCTGAGGATCTTGATGTGTTGGTCTCTGTGAGATCTGATGAAGATTTAAAGCATATGCTTGATGAATACGATCGGCTCGAGAGTGAAGGAACTCCCAAGCTTCGCTGTTTCTTATTTCCTTCAAATCCAATTGTTGTTGAAACTCGACCGTTCTTTGCAGATCCTCAAGCAATTGAGCAACGTTATCTGGAAGCCATTAATGGCATTGTCCGGTGCAGCTCTACTGCGAGCTCAAAAGTCTCCCCTTCTAATGCTAGCCGCCCTACATTCAGCCTTTCATCTGCATGTTCATCTCCAAAATCATCTTCTCCAGATGCCCAAACTGCTGAATCTATGGCCCAAGAACCATTCTCTTGGAATAGCATCAAGCCTAGCCGCCCTCCCATGCACAAAGTCCATAGCTCTCCTAGTCTTTGCAGCTTCAACAACCTTCAACCTCCCCCCATTGTGATTCCAGTTAGTAAACACCACATTCAGCAACGTCATTACCACTATCAACAAAACCATGGCTACCAGTCTTCTAGACATCCACAAGAGTTCAGCAGATGTAATGCCCCTGAAAGAGCTCCCATGCCTCTTTCACCGTCACCGCCTATGGGTCGGGCCGATTTTGGAAGGAGTCCAAAGGGTCCTAGTGTCAGCCACCAGATATCTAGTAGACAGCAGCAGAGAGGATTTGGAGTGTGGAATAGATATGGATACTCTGATGAGTTTGCAGCGAATGGTTGTGGTAGGATGGATAGAGCAGAAAGTGGTCAATGGAGCTCGAGAAAGGCATTTTGGGAGTAACCAAATACAGTCAGTCAGTTAGTCTGTGTAGATAATTGGAAGGAAAAGAATCAAAGATGGCGGTATAGTCTTCTTTTCTTTGTGCTATATCTGAATCATCATTGTATTCTTTTATTCGTTTTTATGCTTTATTTTTTGAACTAAATTTCCTGCGAAGGAAATACTTGTGTAGATGTGTATAGGTTTCATAAACAAATCTCATGTGCTTGTGATATTTTTAGTGATATTTTTAGTTTGATTCTTGTAAATGAAAATTCCTTGTGCATAATCTTGTTATGCCAACCCGCTAAGATTATACACAATGTTGATATAATTCAGGATTCCGAGTCACTCTTTTGGATGGTCGAGATAATAGTTTAAGTTTAATCTCTAGTTTAGCTCAAAACTTTTATATTGGTTTTGTTTTGGTTCTTAAATTCTTTCGATAGTCTGTTCTTAATTCATTTTAAACATTTAGAGATGACACTTATAACATATCTGTTCGTTGTAAACTTACTAAGATACGAAAGAAGATTCCTCTATTCAAACATGTCATCATAATATGCTCAATGGAGGCTTACAATCTTTATAACTCGAACAATCCGAAGTAATTTATCGATATGAAATCAAAAGAGAGAGCTCTTACTAAAGTTCACGTGTAAACTAGACAGAATCTTTAAGTTAGGTAGATAATCTTGAATGAAATAAAAAAATCTCTAATACCCGGCACTAAAAATCATTAAATCATCGACAAAACACAAAATAAATAAGCCAAATCAACTTATAACGAACCCACACTAAATGGTTGAGCATTCGACTTGTAAAACAAAACTTGTATAACCATTAACAAAACTTGTATAACCATTACAAACAAATACGTGCAACAAATAATCCCGTTGTCATCAAGAAATTGTTGAAACAAGAAAATAAACAAGATTTGATTTAACATACCAAATGTACATATCCGTTCTATTTGTAGTAAATAAAAAACGGTAAGAATTCATGTGGAAACAGAATTCATTTTTGACTCAAACACATTGTTGGATTAAAGTTTAGAAAAATAGAAAAAAAATGTTGGGTTGGGAGGTTCGTCGAAAAAGCCCATATCTGGAAGGGTAGTTTTGGGCATAGAAGTTGGTGACAGTCGCAGTATTTGAAGTCGGCTGTCTCTCCGTATTGTCTACATTTTCGAAGTGGGGCACCCGATTTGGGAGGGACAATTTCTTCAATTTTGCTTTCCGAGATTTCGGAAAGCTAAATCTTCAGAACCAGGAACCAGAGAGAGAGAGAGACCAGCGAGATAATATGGCCCGGAGACCCGACGATGACTACGATTACCTCTTCAAAGTTGTGCTAATCGGCGATTCCGGCGTTGGAAAATCCAACCTTCTTTCCCGGTTCACTCGGAATGAGTTTTGTTTGGAGTCCAAGTCCACCATTGGCGTCGAATTCGCCACTCGTACTCTTCAGGTCTCTCTCTCAATTTTCTCTCTCATTTCGGTATTTATATCTACGTTCGTTGTATGTTTGTGTGCTTTACATTCTCGATCTATGTAAAAATTCGCGGGAACGCGAATTTTTTTTTGGAGAATTTTTTTGATGTACTTAAAGTAATGATCTGATTTTCTTTTTTCCGTTTAAAACTGGCGGTTTTTATTTGAATTGAGATTGTGCATCTTCGCTTGCGGATCTGCGTTCTCAATTGGTTGTTCTGGTAATTTTCGTTTTAATTTAGGGGAATGCGGGAAATTGGTCGTCTTTTTACTGCTTTGGATTAGGACAACGAATTGAGAAAAATGTCTATGGATTTGTTTAGGTTTATAACTTTTGATTGAAGTTATTCAGATTCTGATCTGGTATGGGCTAGAGATTTCATCCTAACTTTTAATGGAGATACATCTGCAGATCATGATTGGTTGTTTTTATGCCGGTTAATTTCCCACAAAACCTTAACGCCAAATATGAATCTGAATTAACGACTCCTTTTCTGGTAATACAATTATTATCTTGGTTCTTATACAAATTTTGATTATGCAAATTTACAGTTTAAACCATTCGAGTGTTTTATAAAGGACAAGCATTTTACAAATTGTTAAACAATGAAGAATCATATACAATTCTTCTACCCGCAACACCTGATTTACACTGCAGTATGAGGTCATTTAAATCTCAGTTTCTTGGACTATGGCTGGTAGATAGAATTTTTTATTTAGTTTGTGTCCTGTTACACATGTAGATGTTTTGATAATAGATTTTGGAACTTCTTGGATCGATGTCGTATTCAAATGGCTATGTGATATTAGTGTCACATTTGTTGAGCTGAAAGAAAATATTCTCTTTTTTCTTTTTCTACTGCGCTTTGACTATCAAAGTTACCAAGAAAAGAAATGCTACATACTTTATATTAGGTTGAGGGAAGAACCGTGAAAGCTCAGATATGGGACACGGCCGGTCAAGAGCGTTACAGAGCAATAACCAGTGCTTACTATAGGGGTGCCCTCGGAGCCCTTCTAGTATACGATGTAACGAAACCGATGACTTTCGACAATGTAAACCGTTGGTTGAAGGAACTTAGGGACCATGCAGATTCCAACATAGTCATCATGTTAATCGGTAACAAGACCGATCTGAAACACCTCCGAGCAGTGGCAACAGAAGACGCACAGAGCTACGCCGAGAAAGAAGGGCTGTCATTCATTGAAACTTCGGCTCTTGAAGCAACAAACGTGGAGAAGGCTTTCCAAACCATTCTCTCAGAGATATATAGGATAATCAGTAAGAAGTCCCTCAATTCGGATGAGCCTGCTACTGCTAACATCAAGGAAGGAAAAACCATTGTGGTTGGTGAATCAGAGGACAATTCGAAGAAGGCTTGTTGCTCCTCTTCTTAAGTTCAGAAAAATATCCCCACAATTTTTTGTAACTCTCCTCTCTCTCTCTCTCTCCCTCTTTTCTTGGTCATCTGCTTACGCATATCTTTCTAGTTACCAACTCTATTCTGTTATTCTTGTTTGCTTGGATTTTGTTGGTGTATAATTTTCATATAATTTATATTTTACTTAGATTTTTTTTTTTCAAGAGATCATTGAGATCTCATGTCAGAAACACTATTGAGCGGTTCATTTCAGAGTTTGTCTGTTTTTATGGAATCTCTATGTTGGAGAATCAAATGTGAATGTCTTATTTTAATATCCGTGAGGCTTATGTGTATGCAACTAGTTTTTGGTCTTAGGAACTGTTGATTTTAAAGTGGCTATGGACCATATTCTTTCTAACATACTTGAGTATCATCGCAGTTAACATTCTTAGCATCCAAAGAATTCAACTCATGATTCCAAAATGAGGATGGTTTACCCGTAATCGGCATTCACTCATTCAATCAACTTAGAGGTTAGTTGTTCCAAACAGCCTAAGTCTACCGTTAGCATCTTCTCTTCAGGGTTTTTTAAATGCAAAGAGACGTTTTCACACTCGTTTAAAAAAAAAAAAGGACAAAAAGCTATTATCATGAAGTCATCTATTTTTTTTTTTTTTTAAATTTAGTTAAATGTTGTGTAATGTCATCTATAAATTTTTAAATGCCTTTATTTTAAACCTTCAATTTTGTAGAGATATTATATTAAATTGTTTTTTTAAATGATGTAATAAAAATTAACATAAATACATCTTTTATGTATTTATTTATTAACCCATTGAAATAACCTTGAAAGTCAATACAATTACCCTTTTATTTTAATATTTTATCTATTAAACTATAACATCTTATTAAACCATAGAATTTAAATAAAGGAAAGATTAACGATACTATACTTTTAAAAAGTAATGTTAATGCCTAATAAATTCAATACATACCCTATATTTTTAAAAACTAATTAATTATATTAGATATAAAAATGAATTTTATAATTGGGTCTAATAAATTTACAATTTTTCAAAAGAATACTAGAAACCATTTACCTTGAAACAATATTTTTTTAAAATTAAGAGAAATTATTATACACAAAATTGTTTTAAAGTTAAAAAAAAAAAAAAAACAAATAAACCCAAATATGGAAGATTTAGAAACAAAACCTATAATATTAAATAAGGAAGGAAACAAAGAAAAAGGTATTGTCAGATGCGGGCAGGAAGTAGGGTCCAGTTCCACGTGAGGGTAGGGGTAAAATGGTAAAATAAGAAAAACAGTTCGGGAGAGAGAGAAAAGAAAGGTAAGGATTTTGGTTTGGGTAGAAAAAGACGCATCCAGTCTCCACCACACCGCACCACACCACACCATATTGTCAAAAATCCCATTCCCCACTCCTTCCTTCCTCCCTTCCTCCCTCCATTGCCAATGCCACCACTGACCCATTGATTCCAACTACCACATACAAATCAAAACAAAACATATACTGTAAAATTAAGATTCACTCACACCACTACGCGATCTCCCTCTGGTTTTTGTTCCTCCTCCACAGCCCTTTTTCTTTTCTTCCCCTTCCCATTCAACCGACTTCCCCTGTATCTCTCTGCCCCAGATTCATCTTCTTCTTCCCTCTTTCTGCGAAGGTAGCCTCTTTCCCCATCTGTGTCGCTCTCTTTTTTGTTGCAAACGCTAATATCACTCTTCTTCTCGACATGTTAACCCAACTCCACTTCTGGGTTTCTTTCTGTTTTGTTTTCTAGTTTATGCATGATGGGGGAGAGAACCCCACCTGGGAGTTACTTCCATTACCCTCCCCCTTCTGCCCACGCATCTCCTCACAGGACTCCATCCATTCCCTTAGATCGGGAGAGGTAATTTTTCTTCATCATTTTTTTGCTTTTCTTTATCTACTGCTGATTCATTCTGATTCTTTCTTTGTTTGATTCATCATGTATAACGTCCTGTTTTTAATTGTGTTGTGTTGATGATCTTTGTCTGTGCTACTGAGTATGGAGTTGTGTTGCTTTTGGACGTGATGTGTTGTATGTGATGGTGATTTTGTGTTATGTGAAAATGGCAGGTATCTTGCTGAATTACTGTCTGAGAGACAGAAATTGGGTCCTTTCGTGCAGGTTTTGCCTCATTGTAGCAGACTTCTGAATCAGGGTGGGTTTTCAAGATCTCTCTCTACTTTGCATTTTGTTGTTGAAACATCTATTCTTATTTCTTATGCTGACATTAGTGGAATCAATGGTATCTATCAAGTGGTATTAGAGCATCAATGTAAGCAATAACTTGTTGGATGAAAGAAAAGCTTAAGGCTCAAGTGGGTTCTCTATAGAAGAAAATTTAAGATGCTGAAAGATGTTGGTGACAGGAATTCGTTGACTCGAAAGCAAGCAAGCTCAATAATGGTGAAGAAGATGCTAATCATGTTTGGTCAGGTAGAACAATTGTTGAAGGAGATATTGTCACTTGTTATTAGCGAAGCAAATCTCCAACGAGCAAAACGATGGAATTTGTCACTGTAATGGCCCAAACTTATTGCTAGCAAGATTTTTAAAACACGTCTGCTAGGGAGAGGTTTTCACACCTTATAAAGAATGTTCCGTTCTCCTCCCCAATCGATGTGGGATCTCACAATCCACCTCCCTTTGAGGCCCAACGTCCTTGCTGGCACTCGTTCCCTTCTTGAGTTGATGTGGGACACCCCAAATTCACCGGTATGATGGATCATGTAGCATGGAGTAGTATAGTCTTTGCCATTCATAAGGTAATTTAAAAGAGTAGCTTTGTGTTCGTTTGCAACCACCAGTTGTAAGTAGAGGTTCGGTGGTGGCTGCAGGAGAGAGAGCTTTGTGGTTGTTTGGCTCGATCTTGCTAAAAAATTCGAAATCCATTTTACCTTGAGGTACTTGAGATTATCTCCAAGAGTGTCATCTTCTCCATGTGGACAGAGGCAAAAATGTATTTTCCTACCTTACTCAGTACTTTGTCAACTCGTAATTAATTAGACCATAGTCGACTACAATCTTTTCTACGTCTTCACCCATAAAAAATGATGTTAACGAACTTGGGATGATGCTATGCATCTAAGACATGTTCTTAACAGTTTTTTGGATCCTCTGCCCCACATGAATAGGCATGTGGTGATAATTTTCTGTGAGTAACAAGCCAACTATCTGCAATTTGCCAGTAACCAGCTTAAACACGAGTATTTCTTAAGTCAGTTGCATGAACACCCCTTAAGTTGTTACTATCGTTGCAGAGATCAGACGTCTATCGGGCCTCAATCAAACTTCCGTGGATCATGAGAGATTCGAGCACGGGAGCCCTTACAGGTCATTAGGCCAGCTATCGAACGGAAGGCCAATGGACTTGGAAGGTTGGCCTCCAATGCAAATGGAGGTAAATATATAATATCCTACTGGATTTAAATTTTTTCGTATATTTAACGTCGAGTGTCCTTAATCTATTTCTTTTTAGTTTTGCTAGTTACTCAATAGGAAGGTTTCCTCTTTAATCAGTGATTTCTTGGTATGAGAATATTTTTGAAAAATTGGAAAACCAAGCTTGACAATAGCCTACCTAGTTATTAAAATTTCATCTCGGCTTGAATCCTGAACTTTGTAGGGTATCTCCAGAGGTCCCTAGTCCTTACTACAGCGGTACTCGTGGGTCCGTTCTGACCCGAGCATTCTCGAAATAGAATTCGTAGTTCTTTGTATTTGTGATTTACACGTGTGGTTTAGTTATAAAATACTTCTACTGCAGGGAAGTGGACATGTCCACAGTTTGGGGCCCCTTCAAGCTCATTCAATGGCATGGCCGAGGGTTCAAGGAATTCCTACGACACCGATAGTTAAGAGAGTCGTTAGACTTGATGTACCTGTTGACAAATATCCAAATGTAAGTTAAAATATTTTCATGTTAGGTGGTGATTGTACTGACCTTTTGCCTCTCTGATGTTAGTAGTTTCTTGCTCAAATCACGGCAGTATAATTTCGTTGGACGACTTCTCGGACCGCGTGGAAACTCCTTGAAAAGAGTTGAAGCCTTAACAGAATGTAGGGTGTACATAAGAGGCAAGGGCTCTATCAAGGATGCTTTAGAGGTACTGAAAAAACTACTCGGTGTTTGTATTTTACTCGTTTTTTTTTTTTGTGGTTAATCTTTTCTAACGTGTGATATACATATTCTGTTGAACACAACTCTTTGTGGGTAACACTCGCACTCTTTATTAACACTAATCGAAAAGAGATTATAAAACACTTCGTAGAAAATACACAATGGGCTCATACAATTATTGGGTTTGACCCTATTGGGCTAATGATGATATTTCAACATATTTTACTCGCTTTCTCTTATGAGTTCTCTCTCTCTCTCGTCTTTGAGATAACTGCTCGATTATAGATTTCGAGTAGTCAGCCTTTCATTAATGTCTTTAACATATGTTCTGAATTTGGATATGGGAGTATTTGATATTACTTGCAATGGATATGAATGTTGTGGTTTAGGAAGAGAAGCTAAAGGACAAGCCTGGGTATGAGCATCTTAATGAGCCGTTGCATCTCTTGGTTGAGGCAGAATTCCCAGAGGATACAATAAACTCTCGCTTGGATCATGCAGTGGCTGTGTTAGAAAGCCTTTTGAAGCCTGTGGTATGAACAAAACATCTCAATCACCAACAAATCCTCTCATTGTTTTCTCATGGAGCTTTTGTTATTCCAGGATGAATTGCTTGATCAATATAAGAAGCAACAGCTAAGAGAATTGGCATTACTAAATGGCACTCTGAGGGAGGAAAGTCCAAGTATGAGCCCAAGCATGTCTCCGTTTAACACCACGGGGCTCAAACGGGCCAAGACAGGGAGGTAGTAGGAACAGTGACTTCCCGACAGCGTCGACGAGAGATGACGAGCTTCGTCGACGCTTTGTTCAAACCATGGAAGCTGGTTTTCATCATTGAATAGCAAGTTAACTTTTGCTGGCTGCACATGGTCAAGAGTTTGGGTGATTTTGCTCAGCTCAATCTGATAGGCCTATGTTAATTGGCTCACCACTTTTTTCCCCTTAATATAGGAGGGAAGGAGAATCCCCTCCACCATTTGAACATTTTTTCATTTTTTTTTTCTAAGGTAGTAATTTAATTTAGGTTAAATTACAAATGCAGTTCCATCAACAACTTTTAACGGATATGTTTATTTACTCCTTAAAATTTAAATGTTATTGCTCTAGACTTTAATTTGTGATTTTATGTAATTTCGGGTGGTAATCGTGTTAATTAAATGTGACAGCAGAAGGAAGTGAGAAGCCATTTATGAATGCACCATGCTCTTTCTTTGAAACAGCATCTCTTATATATATATATATATAACCCATAGCCTATAACTTTATTAACTTTGAAATTGATTAAAATATATTAAAATAAATAATGAAAATTTTGCTTATTTAGTCACTAAATGAAGTTCGTCTAATGATTAACAAATTCTTTTTAAAAATTAAAATTAATTTATAGAATTGATATAAATTGAATTATATATTTAATAAAACTCCTAAAAATTTTCACATTTTAAAAAATTCAAAAGTTCATCCAACTTAATTTGTAATTCTGATGCAATTGCAATTATTTAAGTTAGAAAATTTAAATATAAAAAATTATCATTGGTTTGGTGAAATAGAATGAATCATAGTGCGCACACATATGTGATCAATATTTGAGCCAGCTGATATGTTCATACGGTAAATGCATCGGTGAAAGAACAAAATATTTGAGAACTTAACCCTTTCATTAATAAACTCGTTATGTAACATCAATTTTACATATCTGAACTCGATCAATTTTACATGCTATAAGCACTCATTTTATCCTCAATTGGATAAACTAATACATCATAAAATTGTAGAAAAGAAGAACAAAAACTAACCTTACAGCAAACTACCATCTTATGATCTTTAGACATTTGACATGCAACAATTCCAAGATAATGTTTTCTAAGCCTGTGATAGAATTTCAGATGAAGGAATATTGTCAATTATAAGGTACAGGAATCTGAAAATTATATGTAGCTTTTTTTACAAAAGAGAGACAAAAGCAAGAGAAGTGCCCCTTTTGAACATTTGAGGTGTGATAAAACATTTGATATATACTGCCTAACTTGTGAGGGCCCCAAAAAGAAATGACAGCTCACTATTGAATGGAGATGCAAGAACAGTCTAAAACAAACAAGCAAGTCAGGGTATAGAGTGTAATCGCAAGAACAGCATAAAAGCGAATATATTAGGTCTAAAAGCTTCAAAAGGTCTGACAAGCTACACAACAGCCAGTGCATCAAATCATAAAGTCACTGAACAAGTAAATAATTAGAGTAGCTTTTGCTGCAATATCATCTTCTATGGGAAATGTTCTTATATGGTATTTTCTAGAATGCGTGGGAGTATCATAAAATATTTTAACAGCTCCTAGTTATTATTTTGTAATTATGATTCATTTTTACTGATACTAATTGGTAGAACGTCTTGCAATGCTAATGGCAGTGCTTAGCATGTTGCCTTCTCCATCATACCTTTCCTATGGGCAGTGCTGAAAATAGACATTCTTTTATGAATAGTACTTGAAAGTTTATATAGATATAATGTTGTCTTACATAGTCTCGCCCCACGAAGCACCTTAAGCATAGTCTCTAAGGAAGCTATTTACTTTTAAAACACCATGACAGGCTTTTCCACTTCCCGTTTAAGAGTTTTTAATTGTAATTTGTAAGTTCAAGTCAAGATGAAAGAGTCAACATTGCAATGAAGGGTTGGCAAAGAAAAAAAAATCGAAGCGAGGAGAAAATAGGGGAAGTAGGAGTTGGTTGATATGTACAGAGCTTTTTAGCCTTTTAGGATGTAAAATGGTTCCAAAACCAAGAAATGGAGAAGCAAAACTGAGAATCTCCTATAATTTAGTGTGTTACTCCCAAGGATAATAAGAACTTAATTTCAACATCATAGAGAAAAAGACTGAATGAGATATAAATTAGAGAAGAAAAATGATTACTCGTCATGCAGCCATGGATAGAAACATACATATGGCGTTCGATGGATTTTCTAATACTGAATTCATCATGAGAAACCATATCATCTAAAAGACATGACAATACCACTCCAGCATATCAGATATGTATAAAGCTATTTCAGGTGAAAAATAAAAGGATGACGAGTTCAAAGACATACCCAACTTCAGTGAAGTAAATTTCAGATATCCTTCAATCCCGAAGACCAAGCTCAACTTCAAGCTCATCGTCTTCTTCAAACAATTTCAGAAGTCGGGCATATTGCTCCTCTCTTCTCTTTTTTTGCCATAACTTGAAAAGGAAAAATGACAACACCACTACCAAAAGACCAAGGAGGATGATTGCAATCATCGAGCTAGTGTTGCTTCTGGAGGATGGATGATTTCCAGATTTAATACCATCTTTGGGAGTGGAGTCATCAGAAAGGGCTGTAGCAGCCAACCAAAAGAAGTGTTATGAGATAGCTACAAAAGATAGTATTCATGTCTCAATATTGGCTAATTGATGTCTAGAAATTTATCATTCGACAGCAAAATTCATTTCAAGATAAAAGATCATGGAAAATGCACAAAAATAAGAGTAACCATGTGATTTGGAGTATACACGGGTAAAATACTAATGCATAATTGCATCTCCCTCAGCAATGAACAATGAGTACGGGTTTGAAGGGAAATAAGCAACGAAGCCAGAGGTGAACTGAAACTCCTCATTTTCATTCTCAATTAGCAAAATTGTGCGTAGCCACTGAAAGAACAAACTTCATGGCTGCTTTTTGGTACAGTTTTTGTAATTTCATACACCTATAAAAACATGTACAAGAAGTTGTTTTTTATGTCGACAAGGATTCTTTATATATTATATATATATATATAGACACACAGATTAAGTAGTACTGCTACTTCGTGCATCTGCTTGGGTCGCTTATACATTGCGAAATTGAGATTCACACATCCCCTTAGATCGTAATACAGCAACCAAATTTCATTCAAACAACAATGAAGTTCTGTAAGTATTATTTTAACTAAGAAAACATAAACAAACAAAGATCTCAACTATTTAACATGGAAGGAGATTGAAAATCAAACAAAAACGAGATCTGAATACAAATTCATGAAAAGAAAAGGCTTCCAAAGTCAATTGCGTCCCTCTCAATTCGGTTCACCTCAACCGCTTCCAGTAACAGAACAAGCAAAAACAAGGAAACGAGAATTTGCATAAAATCAAAGAACGGATCATAGAAACTAAATAAAAATTGAATTAAGCAAAGTATAAATTAACAGAAAGGACAAGAAAGAGAGATCTGAAGAAAGTACCGGAGACGAATAGTAGAGAAAGCAAAGCCGAAAACGAAATAAAATCAGACGATCTGCGACTCAAATTTGCGCTCATCTCTGTGTCTATCTGTTTCTGGCAAGCTCGAAAACAAATTCTGTCGCTCGCTCGCTCGCGGCAGAGAAATGGAAGTTGAAGGGAAAGCTGAAAGCTGGAAAACCACGCAAACGCTACACGGTTGGAAGTTACCTGAAGAGTGAAGAACCAAGATGGTTGATTAAAATTCCTTCAAATTTTACGAGTATATTTTCAAAATTGATTTTAATTTTATTGATGTTCTCAGGGTAATGCCGTTTTCGAGATTTTTAATTATAAACTTTAGACGGTTGAAAGTCCATTTTTTTTAAGCTTATAGGTATTCGAATATTCCACGTTGAATTATTGACTTCAATATTGTTTTTAAAAAATGTATAATAACTGTGTAAAGTTTGAATGTTGTGTGTATAGTGAATACTCCATGGTCTTGCAACTTCATTTCAACCATCTTCAGTTTTGTATGATTTGAGTAGTAGAATACAATTGAAATGAATTTCAACTTTAAATTAATTTAGTTTTTAGAGCTAAATAAATTTAATAAGCAACTTGCTAATAATTATATCAAAATATAATAAAACCCTTAAAACTAATAATTAACATCAATTATGTTTGAAGTTTTGGGCGCTAACAAAAGTTCAATGGTAGAATCGAACTTGGACGGAGCAAAAAGGGATGTCAGGAGGCTGCCAAGACCACAGAATAAAGCCAAAATGGACAGAGAAGAACAGCATTTACACCAAAGAAAGCACCGAAAAAAGCCAAATCAGCCACTTAATACGCAAAACAAAGATCCAAACCCAAATTTGGAGAAGATCTTGCGGCTGAAGAATCAAAATAATCGAGGAAATTTCAAAAAACTCGTTGAAAAAATCAAATGGACAAGACAAGAATCAGCCACCAAATTTACACCGAAGAGAAAAGAGATCACCTGAGGAATACACAACACAGTACCAAAGTCGGACACTACATACATTCAACACAGACCCAACCCCAATTCTAGAAACATATTCAAATTTTAAAAACAACAAAAACCAAAAATGGACATCATGCAAGTCTGTTTCTTCTCAGAGAAAAAAAAAACCAAATACATGCGCACTCATTTAGATATTCAAGAAATTGCCCAAACTAAAAGGCTCAAATTAAATTTGGACAATCTTGCTTCTTAAAAAGAAAAAAAAGCCAAGTCGTAATGGATAAACTAAAAAGGGAGGAAAGTGAATTTTATAAATCATAACAGCACTGGCTAAGCTAAATGGCTTGAAATTTAAATAGAAAATCAAAGAAGGGTGTGTTCAGTTTGCCTCAGATGATAAATAAAAGACAAAATCTACTTCAAAAGACGGCAGAAAACAAAATCGACCCAAAAAGTCCACAGAAACCTTCCTCCCAAGTCAGTCCTCTAGCCCAACAACAGATGATGTTCTGTCTATTTCTCACTTGAAGCATTTGGCATCCAAGAGAGCCTCTCCCTCAAATGGTTCCTGATCTTCAATCATTTGGTTCACTCTCTCCTTCTGGGCTTCATCGGAGATATCGACCTTCTTCCACTCGTACAGCTCCATGTCATAGCATTCGTCCATAACAAATTGTGGGATTTCTTGCCCACGGAAAAGCCATAGCCCCTTCACCTTGAAGGGTGCCTCTGATCCGATCACAAGCATCTTTCCAAAGGCATATTTACGAGCAAGATCCATTCTCTGGAGAAATCCGCTGACTTTGTTCAAAGTCACAAAGGAAACTGTGTTCTCGTCATTGTACTTGTAATCACAGAACCAAAGGGAGTACCCTTCAGGATCGTACATGTCCCAGAATCCTGCATCACGTAGACAAATGAACATAGAAGACTTCAATTATACAATTCCTTCAAGGGGAAAACAGTTATTGATTCTTAACTTCTCAAGAAACATAATGAAACAGATGGGGCTTAAGAATGGCCATACCTTTGATTGCAACCTCACGGAAGTTAGTTTTTGTGTTAGAGTAGAGACGTTTCCACTCATCCAAAATCATCTTACTGGGAGGAAGGAGGTCAAGAGGATTTTTGGCCTTGGGCTTTGGTGCATCCTCTTCCTCTGCAGGTGCTGCTGCTTTGGGCTTCTCTTCCTTCTTAGGCTCAGCCTTTGGCTTGGCAGCTGCTGCAGCCTCTCCCGGTGTCTTCACTGGTGGAACAGTTTCTGTCTGCTTAAACTCACCAATAATCTTCTTGAAATTTGGTTGATTGACCATTGTCCAGAAGTACCTCTCGACGTGAGGGAACTCAGAAGTAAAGCTTTTAGTCAACAGAAAAGAGATTCCCCAATACAAATTGCATGTTACAATGATATCAGCCAGTGTCACAGAATGTCCAACAAGGTATGTGTTTGAAGCAAGGTAAGAGTTCAGAGCAGCAAAAGAGCGTTTTAGGGCAGCGTTTGCAGCTTCTTCAACCTTTATGATGAAAATAAAATGCACGGTGTCATGTGCCAGCGAAATAAGAAAGCAAAGTCATTCGTAGGTAACCAAAAAAAAAATCACTCATACATGAAATATAGGACTCAGGAAGGAAAGAAAAAAATGGAAAAGAGTGAAATTGAAAACCAAAAAGACCAATTTCTCAATCCACTTTTCATTTTCTATTACTACCCACGACACAAGTGAAGAATACAAGAAGACAAAATTCAAATTTGAATAAGAATTCGCACAGAAAACGTTATCAATAATTCAGCCACATTGTAAGAAAAACTCACTCGATTAGATATAAAAGAGAAACTAACTTACAGCAGCATGGTAAGCGCGATATCCATATCTAGGCCCTGCTAAAGCACCAATATGAACATCAATTTCAAGTGTGGCAAAGTCAATCCATTGTTCAACGTGTCCCTGAAAACAAATAGAGTGAAAAGGTTTAATAAAAGCAAACAACTTCATTCTAATTAAAGAAAAGAAAAGGAGAATAATCAAAACCAACAAAGAATAAGAACAAAGGATCTTACATATTCAATTGGAGAAGAACCAAATAAACCACAGTCCTTCAAGCGAGCAACTGTAGCAACAAGAAAAAAAAATTCCATAAAACAAAAGAAAAGGAGGAATAATTCCGCTTAACTCATGTGCATAGTTATTAAGTCACTCCCATGGAGAAAGCATAACAATAATTACCATAGCGAGCTATGGCATTGCTCTCAAAGATACCACCTTCGGGTGTTTCAAGCACAGGAACCTGAAACATTAAGATCCATTATTTTTTAAGCAAAGAGCTATAGAATAAAGAACTACAATCTCTAACATGAACAGATCACCAGACCAAGAGCAAGATATTTGTTTACCTTCCCAATAGGATTCATTTTGAGAAACTCAGGAGACTTATTGGTTACGCCCATGGTAAAACCTGGGGCAAGGTCAACCTTGACACCATTGTATTCTGCAACTATAAGAGCTTTGTAAGCATTTTTGTTAGTGTTCCAGGAGTACAGAACCTGCAAAATGAACACGTATATACATCAATAACATATCAAACGATTATCAACCGAAAAATGACAAAATCCAATTGCAATGAATTCATTAATAACTGAAACCAAGGAGTAAGCACACAATAAACTTCATTGGTGTGTAATTAGACAATAACGCGTTAGGCTTTGGCATGATAAACTTCTTTGAACGGGTGGGAATACTGAGTTTGGAATATTTTAAGAAATCTCAATCAATAGAAACCCCAAGAACAATAAGATTGAACTTGCAAAAAAAAACGGAAAAGCAATCCTCAATCGTCAATAATGTAAAAAAAGCAACTATTTCAGCAATCGTTCAACACTTTTTATGCAATGACACATGAGACACTATCCAATTTCAGGAGTAAACAGCGCACGGTAGTGATTCGGACACAAAAGAGTATTACTATCAAAATAGCATGGTCCAAAAATAAGATCTGAAAATTCAAACCACAGTTGAAAAGCGGAATAAAACATGAACCCTATGCTAGAACTATCCAATTACAGATTTCCTTTTTTCCATAAAACCCATCAATCAAACCAAACGGCAACACGTCAGATCCAAAATAATCCAAGATAAATTCCCACGTTCTGGAACCAACTCGTAGAAAATATCAGAAGTAACGAGAGACTCACCAGAGCCATCGCTTCGCTGTAGAAAAAACGTTTCGCTCAAAGAATACAGATCTGAGCAAACAACAAACGTAGCGGTTAGTTACAGAAAGAAATACAGATACAATTCAATCGATTTGTGATTGATTTCTGATGAAATAAACAAGATCAACTAAAGAACCAAGTGATGAAGTTGAGAGAGAGACCTGAGGGCGAGCGCTAGCAAGAGTAAGCCTGCTGCGGGAGGTGTGTTATAATGAGCAAAAACTAGGGTTTTAAAGGTGTTTCTGGATCGGGTATTCGTCTTTGGGCTCCATGGCCCGACACACCCAGCCTAATTTTGTTCTAAATATTTGTTTGGCTACAAAAAGGTAATAATAATAAAAATAAAATAAATATCATACCTCCATGGCCAGCATCACCCACCCTTCTTTCAAAAGTTTTTTTTTTTTTTTTTTAAGCATTTCAAATTTAATCTTGTAACACAAATTCTTTCAAATATTATCCTAACAAATCGCGATGAAACATATAAAACGATATATTAAGTGATATAAAACGTTTGATTGAATTTAAAATAACGATATTTAGACATGTCAACTTTTCATTTGACATTTTAATTATTTTTCTACGTTACCGATAATTTTAAAACGTTTTGAAACCTTTTGAAAGAAATCCACAGAGAACCGTGAAAACTAAGAAAATTCTTCAATTTTTTCGAGAGAAAATGTGAGGGGATTTAAGTTTGACTCGACTCGAGGGTCTTATTTATATAAACGTATAGAAAATGTTTGCTAAAATTAAATAACATATTTTAATAGAGTATCAATTTAGTTGATCAAGTAATGCACCCGTGGAGTTCCTGTGGTTGCTACTTTAGGATCGTTGTAGTTACGGTGGCCATTCGTTGAGGTTTTGGTTGGTGGCTCTCTATGACCAGGTCACCAAATATTATAAATTTCCATTATATATATATATATATATATATATATATATATTAATGGGTCTAATACAAATGAGTTCTTTAAGTATTAATGAAAGTTTTTCAATCTAAAGCTTGCAAAGATCGAGGTTGAGTCCATGGTCGTGTGACACCCATGAAACACGAAAGTCATTCATTATTAA